CCCAAATCCCCAAAAATTCCCCCAAAAATCCAAAATTGTCCAAAATAGTCCCAAAAAATTCCCCAAAAATTCCTAAATTCCTCAATAAATCCCCAAAAATTCCCAAAAAAATCTAAAAATCCCAAAAAATCCCCCAAAATTCCCCAAAAAAATCCAAAAATTCCCTAAGAAATTCCCCCAAAAATGCAAAAATACCCAAAAAAACATCAAAAATTCCCCCAAAAATCCAAAATTGTCCAAAATAGTCCCAAAAAATTCCCCAAAAATTCCTAAATTCCTCAATAAATCCCCAAAAATTCCCAAAAAAATCTAAAAATCCCAAAAAATCCCCCAAAATTCCCCAAAAAAATCCAAAAATTCCCTAAGAAATTCCCCCAAAAATGCAAAAATACCCAAAAAAACATCAAAAATTCCCCCAAAAATCCAAAATTGTCCAAAATAGTCCCAAAAAATTCCCCAAAAATTCCTAAATTCCTCAATAAATCCCCAAAAATTCCCAAAAAAATCTAAAAATCCCAAAAAATCCCCCAAAATTCCCCAAAAAAATCCAAAAATTCCCTAAGAAATTCCCCCACCCAAAATCCCCCCAAAAATCCAAAAATCCTCAAAAAAATCTCCAAAAAATTACCCAAAAAACCCAAAATTGTCCAAAAAATCCCCAAAAAATCCAAAATTCCCCCAAAATCGCCCAAAAAGTCCCCAACAAATCCAAAAAACCCCGGAAAAATTCCCTAAAAAATTTCCCAAAAAATCCAAAATTGTCCAAAAAATTCCCCAAATAATCCTAAAATCCCAGAAAAATTCCCTAAAAAATTTCCCAAAAAATCCAAAATTGTCCAAAAAATCCCCAAAAAATCCAAAATCCCCCAAAAAATCCCCAAAAAATCCAAACCCGTCGAAAATATCCCTAAAAAATTCCCCAAAATTTCCAAAAAATTACTCAAAAAACCCAAAATTGTCCAAAAAATCCCCAAAAAATCCAAAATTCCCCCAAAATCGCCCAAAAATTCCCCAACAAATCCAAAAAACCCCGGAAAAATTCCCTAAAAAATTTCCCAAAAAATCCAAAATTGTCCAAAAAATTCCCCAAATAATCCTAAAATCCCAGAAAAATTCCCTAAAAAATCCAAAATTCACCAATAAATCCCCAAAAAATCCCCAAAAATTTTCCAAAAAATCCAAAATTACCCAAAAAATTCCCCAAAAAATCCAAACCTGTCGAAAATATTCCTAAAAAATTCCCCAAAATCCAAAATCCCCAAAAAATCCACAGAAAATTTCCCAAAAAAAATCTAAAATTCCCCCAAAATCCCCCAAAATTTCCCCAAAAATCCCAAAAAAATCCCCGAAAATTCCCCGCAAAATCCAAAATTCCCCCAAAATCCCCAAAAATTCCCCCAAAAAAATCCAAAATTCCCCCAAAATCCCCAAAAATTCCCCAAAAAAGTCCAAAATTCCCAGGGAAATTCTCTAAAAATTTCTCCAAAAAATCCAAAATTCCCCCAAAATCGTAAAAAATTCTCCAGCAAATCCAGAAATTCCCAAAAATCCCCAAAAATCCCCAAAAATCCATGAAAAGCTGACGTCACCCCGATGACGTCACCCCCGATGACGTCACCCCCGATGACGTCACCCCCTCCGCAGCGAGCACAGCCGCCATTGGTTCTTCCGCGGTCACGTGACCATCGACGGCGCCCCCGTGGCGCAGAGCCTCTTCCGGTCGCTGATGGACACGCAGGGCCCCGCCCACCCCAACAACGTCATCAAGTTCTGCGACAACAGCAGGTGGGACAGACGGACACACGGACACACCGGGGACACACGGACAGACACACGGACACACCTGGGACACACGGACACACCTGGGACACACGGACACACCTGGGACACTGGGACACACGGACACAGCTGGGACACACAGACACACCTGGGACACACGGACACACCTGGGACACACGGACACAGCTGGGACACACGGACAGACACACGGACACAGCTGGGACACACGGACACACCGGGGACACACGGACACACCGGGGACACACCTGGGGACACACGGACACACCTGGGACAGACACATGGACACAGCTGGGACGGACACACGGACACACCTGGGGACAGACACACGGACACACGGACACACATGGGGACGGACACACGGACACACGGACATAGCTGGGACACACCTGGGACAGACACACGGACACACCTGGGACGGACACACCTGGGACGGACACACGGACACGGGGACACTGTGGGGACGGACACACGGACACGGGGACACACCTGGGACAGACACAGGGACAGGGGGACAGACACACGGACAGGGGGACACACCTGCGGCACACCTGGGACAGACACACGGACAGGGGGATGGACAAACGGACAGGGGGACACAGCTGGGGACAGACACACGGACAGGGGGACAGACCTGGGACACACCTGTGGGGACATGGGGACACAGGGACAGACATGGGGACACACGGACACGGGGACACACCTGGGACAGACACAGGGACAGGGGGACAGACACACGGACAGGGGGACACACCTGCGGCACACCTGGGACAGACACACGGACAGGGGGATGGACAAACGGACAGGGGGACACAGCTGGGGACAGACACACGGACAGGGGGACACCACACCTGGGACACACCTGAGGGGGTGGGGACACACCTGGGACACACCTGGGGACAGACACACGGACAGGGGGACATGGGGACACACCTGGGACACCTGGGGACACACCTGGGGGGACATGGGGACAGACACACGGACAGGGGGACAGACACAGGGACATTGGGGACACACCTGGGACACAGCTGGGGACAGGGGGACAGACACAGGGACACTGGGGCGGACACACGGACACGGGGATGGACACACGGACACACCTGGGGACACACCTGAGACATTGGGGACAGCTGGGGACAGACACACGGACACTGGGGACATGGGGACACACCTGAGACACACCTGGGGACAGGTTTGGGCTGGATTTTGGGCTGGATTTTGGGTTATTTTGGGTTGATTTTGGGTGATTTTGGGTCATTTCCCCCCAGTGCCATCCGCGGTGTCCCCGTGTGGGATTTGGGGTGAATTTTGGGGTGAATTTTGCTGATTTTGGGTCTCTGTGTCCCCAGTGCCATCCGCGGGGTCCCGGTGTGGGATTTTGGGTTTATTCTGGGGTGAATTTTGCTGATTTTGGTTCATTTCCCCCCAGTGCCATCCGCGGTGTCCCCGTGTGGGATTTTGGGTTTATTTTGGGTTTATTTTTTGGTTTTTTGGGTCATTTCCTCCCAGTGCCATCCGCGGTGTCCCAGTGTGGGATTTGGGGTGAATTTTGGGTTATTTTGGGGTGAATGTTGCTGATTTTGGGTCTCTGTGTCCCCAGCGCCATCCGCGGGGTCCCGGTGTCCGCTCTGTGGCCGCAGGACCCGGCCGGGCCCAGCCCCTACGAGAGGAGGACGAGCGTGCGGCACGTCACCTTCACCGCCGAGACGCACAACTTCCCCACCGGTCAGTCTGGGGTCATCCGGGGGTCACTCAGGGTCACTCAGGGGTCACTCTGGTCAGTCTGGGGTCAAAGGTCATCCGGGGGTCAGGGGTCACTCAGGGGTCACTCTGGTCAGTCTGGGGTCAGTCACAGGTCAGGGGTCACTCAGGGGTCACTCAGTGGTCACCAGTGGTCACTCAGGGTCACTCAGGGGTCAGAGGTCACTCAGTGGTCACTCAGGGTCACTCAGGGTCACTCAGGGTCACTCAGGGGTCAGGGGTCACTCAGGGTCACTCAGGG